TTTGTCCCTATTCACATAACAGAAAGCCAAATAATTTGATTTTCTTTGTTCTTTTTTGGATCTCATAGTTTTCTTTGGTTTTAGGTTGATCAATTTCGATCAAAAACTTTCTGGATAATCAACTTGTGAGTGACAATTCTGTTATAATGTCTTCTGAGAACATATGAAATCTTGGCTATCAGATTTACAGGAAAGAATTATGCAGCTTAGGAATTTCAGTTCAAGATATTTTTGAAAGGGAAAGAACTTTGTAGACATATTGATGGGTCTTCTCCAACACCTACAGAGCTGAAAGATCTTGGTCAATGGGAGGCAAAAGATACTCGAAGTGTTTCTTGGATTTTGGGATCTATTGAGGATTATTTGATGACCAACATACGATCCTTTGGCACGGCTAAAGAAATGTAAGAATACTTGAAACACGTCTACAATCAAAATAATACTATAAGTCGCTTTCAATTGGAACTTGATATTAGTAATTATAATCAAGGTAATCCCTTAAGTGAACAATAGTATTCTGGCTTTCTTAATTTATGGAGTGAATATTATGACATTATCTATGTTAAGGTGTCAAACGAGAATTTAGCTAATCTTCAAGCTATTCATGAAGTCGTCGTGACCAGTTTTTGATGAAGATCATACATGAATTTGAAACTGCTCGAGCTTGGTTGTTGAATAGAGATCTGGTTTCTTATGTGGATGTATATTTTGGTGAATTACTATGCGAAGAATAAATATTGGTGACACAAGCCACTATTAGTACAACTAATGGATCATCAAAAATAATTAATATTGCATATGCTACTCATACCTGAGGGAAGAAAACAAACCAGTTACAGCTGTAAAAAATTTGGTCATATTGCTCCCCAATGTAATAAGAAATTATGTAATTATTGCAAGAAAAACAGACATATTATTAAGGAGTGTCCTACATGAACACAAAGCTGCAAACCACAAGTCTTTCATGCTACGGTATTTGATCCTGGTTCGACATTCACAACTGTCAGCAATAATCAATCTTTTCTCACACCAAATATGGTTCAACAGATGATTCTTTCTGTCTTTTCTACTCTTGGTTGTCAAGGGAAAGGTAAAATTATTACTCCGTTCCTTCTCCTTGATTTGTTAATTATGGCACCACGAATCATATGACTGACATATTTGATTTATTGCATAACAACGCCCGTATACTGGTACTCAACAAATCCAGGTCGCTAATGAAAAAAATATTTTAATTACGATAGTTGTGATATTAGCCCTTCCGACATTGCTTGGTTTCTCCTAAATTATCTATAAACTTATTTTCTGTTGGTCAAATGGTAGATAATAATTGTGATGTACACTTTTCTCGTGATGGTTTTGTTGTGCAGGATCAGGTGTTCGGAAAGATGATAGCGAAGTGACCTGAAGCAGACAAATTATTTACATTACAATTTATCATTCCTCGGACTTTGTCATTAGCTTGTTCAGTTGTTGAAAATAAGGCTGACATCTAGCATAGACGATTAGGTCATCCAAATAATGTTCTTTTAAAACAAAGTGGTGTTTTTGGATCTACCGATAAAAGTTTATTAGTTGATTGTTCCGCTTGTAAGTTTGGCAAAAGTAAAACATTGTCTTTTCCTATTTGGAGCAGTCGATATTTTGACATTATTCATAGTAAAGTTTGGGGAATTACACTAGATATTTCACATACTCTGTATAAATATTTTGTATCATTTATTGACAATTACAGCCGATTCCCATGGATATATTTTTTGCATTCCAAAACAGAAGTGTTAACCGTGTTTCAAACCTTTGTGACATATATTAAAACTCAATTCTTTATATTAAAACTTTATGGTCGGACAATGGCGGTGAATACATGTCTGAAGAGTTTCAAACATTTTTTTCATAACAAAGGTATTGTCTCATAATGTTCATGTCCTTATACACCTCAGCAGAATGGAGTGCCAGAAAGAAAAAATCGTCATCTATTGGATATGATGTGCATATTATTGTTAGAATCTTCTGTCCAGCTAAGTTTTGGGCAGAAGTTTTATCTACTGCAATTTATCTGATTAATCACTTATCATCCCAACAATTGAAGTTTGATTCTCCCTATTATCAATTTTTTGTAAACATCCTAATTATCATATGATGTATTTGTTTTATTCATTTACCTGCCTAAGAATGTCATAAGTTGGCAGCCCAATCTATTCGATGTGTCTTTATGGGTTACATTCCCAATCACAAAGATTTTGTGTTATGATTCAATTAATAAACGATAGTGTAACTCTCGGGATGTGATTTTCTTTGAACATGAACACTATTTTCAACATCATCTTTTAACATCTGACACCGTTATATTTCCTCACTTCGATGATTCTTCTTTTGATAAACTATTCAAGCTTGGAATTGTCTACACACGATGCCTAACCCCTTCATCTCCAGTACTTCCCGACCCTGCTCCTGAAAAATGCTCCAATGAGTCCTCGACGATTAACTCGGCACATTCGCCATCAGAATAAATATGCCTATTCCACAATTTTAACTAATACTTCAATTCCTACATCTTATTCTCAAACTGCTAAACAGACTTGTTAGGTAAAATTCATGCAAGAGGAACTTCAGACCCTACAAGACAACACACTTGGGATATTGTTTCATGTCTTGTTAGTCTTAAACCCATTGGATGTAAAAGAATTTATTCTCTTTAGCTCCACTCTGATGGCTCCCCTGACATATATAAGGTAATATTGGTAGCTCTTGGCAATCGACAGAAATATGGGATTGATTATGAAGAGACCTTTGCACCTGTGGCTAAGATGACAATTGTCCGACTTGTTCTATCTATTGTTGCTTCTAAAAGCTGGTCTTGATAACAAATGGATGTTAAGAATGCATTTTGCATGAGAACCTTAAGGAAGATATCTATATGACTCCTCTAGGTTTGTTTTCTACACCCTCACATGATGTTTGTAACCTCAAACCGTCACTATACGGTTTGAAACAGGCTCCACGGGCTTTATTTGAAAAGTTTCGCAAAACTCTTCTTAGTTTCTCTTTTATTCAAATCAGTATGATTCTTCATTATTTCTTTGCAAAAATGATAAGTGAATTGTGTTGTTATAAGTCTATGTTGATTTTATTGTCATCACAAGACCCGATACTCAATTGATGTATCAATTATAGAAGCGTCTTCAGGGTTCTGTTCATATGAAGGATTTGGAGTCTTTAACCTATTTCTTAGGTCTTGAGGATCACTCTTCTCCCTATGGTATTTTTCTTCACCAGCATAACCATACTAAGGAACTCATTGTTTTGGCCAAGCTTCAAGAAGGTAGTCCTGTTGATGCTCCTTTGGAAGTGAATGTTAAATATCAACGAAATGATGGTGAATTTCTATCTGATCCATTTTTGTATCGACAACTTATTGGGATTCTCAATTATCTAGTCATCACACGTCCTGATATTTCATTTGTTGTGCAACAAGTTAGTCAATTTATGCAGGCACATACACATCTTCATTTAGCTACAGTTCGACGTATGTTAGGTATTTGAAAGGTAATTCTCATCGCGGCTTGTTCTTTTCTGCGGAGTCATCTATTCGCTTAACAACATATAGTGATGTTGATTAGGCTGACTGCTCTGATACACGTCAATCTATTACTGGTTGGTGCATGTTTCTCGACAACTCTTCAATTTCTTGGAAGAGTAAGAAATAGCATCGAGTGTCTAAGTCTTCTACTGAGTCTGAATATCGCGTTATGTCCTCTACTTGTTCTAAGATCAATTGTCTTCGAGGTTTGTTGGCTGAGCTTTCTTTTCCTCAACTTAAGCCCACTTCTCTTGAAGCATATAATACCAGTGTTATCCAGATTACTGCTAATCTTGTCTTTCATGAGCGCACGAAATGAATTGAAGTGGACTATCATTCTATTCGAGAAGCTTATGATAATGGCGTTATTTCTCTTCCTCGTATCTCTTTTGATCTTGAAACGACTGATATATTTACTAAGATCCTTTCTCGGCAGCGTCATCAGTTCCTTGTTAGTAAATTGATGCTTCTCGATCAGTCAACATCAATTTGATGGGGGATATCAATCAAGAATAACTAAAATCGGGCATAATTAAGAGTTTCCTAGTCTGAATTGCTTAATTAAATTCCGTAACTTAATTGTACAGATTCTTTCCTTATAGTTGAATATTTAGATTAGGAATATGTATAATACAAATTATTATATATTATTAGACTACCTAAAATAGATTGTACAGACCATTATTTCTTGGAATGAAAGCAAAGGGAAAAGGCATTCAACTTATTTACCCAAAACATTGACATTTCTAATATAATTTTTTTTGGGGATGCTTTCGCATAAATACCATAAGATTTTTATTTATTTGCAAATCCAACACCTAAAGTATGATATTTACATGCATAACACTAAAATATTTAACACATAAAAAAAATATCACAATTACCAACTTTTTAGAAGTGAAATACACCATTTCATTCATAGGTTTATAATAATAATGTGTCATAAATGTAAATATCATAGTTTAGGTGTTAGATATGTAAATACATAAGAATAGTGTGGTATGTATTTAAACTCAACACCACCCCAACCACCAACCCGCACAAATGTTGAAAGAATCAAAACTAACTTGTTGGTGAGAACAGCAAATCATGACATCAGACAGTTTTAATCAAAGAAATTGGACATGAAGAGGACCATGTAGTAATGATGTTGGTGGGCAGTTCTCACTAACCTGTTTGAATTTAGTTGCTTTACTTGAGATGGTAAAAATTATTGTAGAATTGCTATAAGAAAGAAAAATACTCTTCCAGTAAAGTAGAACATAGGGTAAAAGAGATTATAAAGATTAAACATTTAAAATTCTACATATTAATACATCTAAAGTCTGGAAAGCAGATTGTTCTTTCATTTCAAAAAATAACAGTGTATATTCTGTCTCTGAGCCGCTGTGATGAATCGCTAGGATAAATACTGACAATATTTCAAGATCAATGATACTATTTGAATAAAATCTGTGCAATAAAAACATTTGCATAAATAAGAAATAGTACTTCGTAAAGCATGCAGCAGTAATACATGGAGAAGAAGGATTCGTGTCAAGCCAACAACAACTAATGGTTGAGAATCAGTAACAGACAAACAACTCCTACCAATTTTAGGATTGAGAATGTGATGAAAAATGAGGGCTATGTAAGCATTCCTTTCGTTTGCCGACAAACATGGTTTCTCTTCCTTGCATGTTCGCTGTTATGATGTTGTGTGCGACACCCATAACCATACCAGCAGTTCTGTCTTGCAGCTAAATCAGGTGGGAAAAGCTGCAGGGAGGGTAAAAAAAACAAAACAAGTCAGAATGAGTCTAAAATCGAATGAAGTTATAAACCTTGTAGTGCTAATATTTTCCTGTAAGGCTAAAATATGGCACATAAGGTCAGTTTGTTTTGAAGTTAAGCAAATGGAATCGGTTCGAGATAAGCAAGTGAGTTTCAGAAATTTTATTTGTTTTACTTCTGCATGAACTCGCTTTTTAAGAATTTTGTTGAGCTGTTTGTTGGAATTTGCAGCTATCTTACCAGTGTCATATTTTCTAGTTTTATAAATTTATACAAAAATAAAAAAAGTCAAGGTAACTGATACTAGTAGACCGATTATTGGCAAACAATTTCTCTATTTCTCTCAGAATTACATATTAAGCTTACAATGTGCATGAATTTGTTATGCACAAGTTTTTATGTGAAACGTGTTCTTAATCATCCACATAAGAATCCAGATTCATGAGGAATGCGTCAACAACGATGAGAAGCCTATAAATTCAAAGTAACATTGTGCAAGGTACTATTTAAGTTTGACAAGAGGTTACAGACGTCGGAATAGGATGTTTGCCATGTTCTGGAGGCTCTAAAAAGTTAAAGAAGATTTACATACATAACACTCAATTCCTATGTATTTACATATCTAACACCTAAACTTCAATTTTTACATACATCATCCTTATCTATACATGAAAAGGTGCATTTCACTTTCTAAAAGTTAAAATGGTGGTATTCTTATGTGATATGAAAGATTTGGGTGGTATTAATGTAAAAAGTAAATTTTAGGGTTAGATATGCAAATACATAGGAATTAGGTGGTATGCATGTACATGCCCAAAATGCTAAACACTAGAAGAAGTATAGTGAAGATGTTTAAAAAAAATTCTAGGGAACCAAATTAACTTTGAGGAGTAACAGAACTTTCAGAAACTTGAGAATATGTTTGGATGCTGGGAAACTTGAGTCAAAGAAAATAAACAAATAAAATAAAAGTGCACAGAAAAAAAAAACATTGCCATACATTCAAACCAACCCAGAATCAGTTGGGACTTCATTTAATTGCCTTGACTTCCTTTAAATCCAAGCAAAGCCTAAATGATTTGTGTAGTTGTTGGATTTTTAGTATCTCCTATTATTAGTATTTTCTAATTTTAGTATCTTTTATTATCGATAAATCATAAATCTTGTTTCTTTCTTTTATTATACAGTTATGGCTAATATTATTGTTATCCCAATATGAGAGTCATCCTCATCTATTTAACTTGTACTCATCGTTCTATGAAATTGAGGAGGAATAATTATTTTTTCCATCCCAAAAACTAAATGCTAACAAAGATCTAATCTTGTCGACATCTTCCGCCCTGGTTTTATTTCGTGACCTTCACCATACAACCTCGATTAAAGCTCGTTGTGAAGGCAATGACCAAATCACAAGACACAGAGAACGGAATCATTGCATTCAGGAACCACCCTAAGGCATTCAACTAAAGCTTGTTGAGAAGGCAACGAACACATCGTGAAACTCAAAGGAACAACCGTGACACTCAGAGTAAGGCCTCTATTAACACCAACTATTCTCCTCCTCCTACTTAGTCATAACGATACAGTATTAGAGCTAGCTGCGAAACGATCCAGTAGCGATTAGAATTTGCAGCTAAGCATCAAGTCGCGATTAGCTATGAAGATCAAGATCACGTACACTGGTCTATGGACAATGAAACCTACCATTGAGGCCTTTTCAGTTTGGAGCATACAATATGAAAAGAGAATTGTTTTGTAATCTTTGAAGACAAATGTGAAAACAGTCGCTTTTTCTGGAAAAAAAAAAAAGGCAGCTCACTAAGAATCTGCTTTTCCTGGACCAGGCAAAGCACCAACCCAACAAGTTTCGGCTCTAGAAGTTTTGCGACGTTTTCCTGACTGGGAAACCAACGAAAGGATCGCGGGGTACAAACGTGCGCAAGAAAGTGAACGGATCACAGCGTAACAAGAGTTGTGTCATTCTTGATCGAAAGCAACAATCGGGATCACGATGTAAATGAGTTTTGCACCACTCATGCAAAAAGTGAACCGATAGTGGCATACAGGAGTTTCGTATCGTACTTGATCGAAGCATAAAAGAGTTTCATGCTATTCTTGATCATTTTTTTCAAATTCTAAGGATGTCCTACAAATCAGCAATAATAACAGGATTTTAAAGAAATTCTACCACATCGACAAATTCCAGTAATTTTGAAACCACCATATCCCACCTAATAGCTCTCTTAATTGGTACATCGGTACACTTTACCTCACAGTTATAAAACTTAATAGGCACAACAATCTTGAGTGGGCACAATCTATAAGATTGGTGATCAACGGGAGAGGTAAAATTGGGCAATTGAACTGGAGAACTCCCAAACTCCCAAAACCTACTGCTTATGATCTGACTCTGAGAAAATGGCAATAAAAAAATTCTCTAGTAATGGCATGACTTATAAATTCCATGAAACCTTTCATAGGAAAGCCTCATCTATTCCTTCTTACTTAATCGAGATACTTGTGGGCTCTGTTAAAGATCTCTATTCAAACTTGGAGAATTCTTCACAAATTTTTAAGTTGAAAAGTCAACTTTAAAAATCCAAATAAAATGATCATAATATTACTACGTATTACAATGAGCTGGTAACATTATGAGAGGAGCTTGATAAATATTATAATGATATTTGGAAGAATTCAAATGACTATGCTCATCAAAAGAAATGAGAGGAAAGCGACAGGGTCTACATGTTCTTAACTGGCCTTAATTGGGGCATAAATGAAATTCAAAGTCGAATCCTTAGAAGAAAACCACTACCTTCAATTTGAAAAGACTTTTCTAAAGTTAAACATGAAAAGTCGGGAAGAAAAATTATGTTACACAACACCGAATCATCTGGTAATATTGAACGAGAGAACTGGCTCTTGTGTCAAAAAGGGTTGATATTGATAAAGAAGGGCGAAAAAAAATCGTGTGAGCATTGCAAAAAAATCATATCACATAAAGAAGACTTGTTGGAAGCTCCATGGAAAACCTGCAAATTGGAAATCGAAATACAAGCATGAAAGTCGAGCTTATTAAGTCACTGCTAAAAAAAGTCATAAGCTATCTGCTAACTTGAATGCAATCCCTTTTACCAAATAACAGTTAGAGCACTTGAAAAAGTTATTTCAATCTCTGTTATTATCCGACTCAGACTTGCTATTTAGTACAAAAGGATAACTCTCTGGCCACTGCTTTGTTATATGTATTCTAATTTTTTTTTATTCTTGGATAATTAACTCTGGCGCAACTAATCACATAACAGGATTCTCTAAATTATTTTCCTTCTATAGACCTTGTGCAGGCATTAAAAAGATCAAAATTATCGATGGTTCCCTCTCGACAATTCTCAAGATAGGAATTGTCAAACTCTCATCATTTTTAACCCTTTGTGGTATTCTCCATGTTCCTAAAACATCTTGCAAATTGTCTATTAGTAAAACTACTACTGATTATCTATGTCAAGCTAAATTTTATTCTTCTTGTTATGAGTTTTAGGAATTGATCACAGAGAAAATGATGGATAGTGCTATGAAAAAGATGAACTCTATTATATTGAAGATGAAATTGACTCAAATAGAAAATATCGAAGTACGGGTTTAAACTCTCTCTCTCAAAAGACAATAAAATTATGTTCTAATTTTCATTGTCTAAAATATATGTTTCCCAAAATATTTCAGAATAAAAATATGTCATTTCAATGTGAAGTGTATTAGTTTGTTGAACATCATCGCACATCGTATTCCCCACAAATATAATAACCTACCAAACAATTTACTTTGATTCATAGCGAAATCACGCTGGTAAAACCATAATTTGAAAAAAAAAATGTTTGTGATTTTTATTCATGATCACATTAGGATAAGTTAGATTTTTTTAATAAAGAGAAAATTTGAACTAGAAATAATTTTCAAAATTTCTAGACCATGGTAACCCAATTTTAAACAAACATTTAAATATTTGGGAAGAACAATGGCCAAGAATACTTCAAAAATAGTTTGGGTCATTTCTTTCTTAAAAAAAGAATAATTCATCAAAGCTATTATGTCAACACTTCACAATAAAATGAATTGGCTGAAAGAAAAAACAGAGCACTTATTTGAGGTAGCTCTGGTTTTGGCATTTACTAATTAGGTGCCTAAATAGCTCTTGAGTGAAGCTGTTCGTAATTCAACCTTTTTCATAAATAAAACACCCAATAAGGTCTTAATCTTTGAAATACCTTTCAATATTTTTCCTTTTTTTTCTCAGAGAATCGACTTTTATCTTCTCTTTCTCTAAAAGGATATTTGGGTGTACGCTTTCATTCTCATTCATCATCAAGGAAAACTCAAAAACCTAAGTCAAGAAATATGTATTTGTTGGTTATGCTCCTAGCCAAAAGAGGTATAAATACATTGATCTCACTACTAGAAACATGTTTTTTATCATAGAAGTCACATATTTTGAACTTCAACAGTTTTTTTCACCTCATCTTCAAGAAAGAACAAAATAAAAATGTCTCTGAATTTCAAAATTTTTAAAACTGAAGACTCCCAAAATAGTATGTCCTCAACCTTAAGAGTTCAACCTAAAAATCCTAGCAAAATCTTTATAAGGAAAAAATGAGTCGAGTCATCAGATGTTGAAATTCCTACAATGTCATCTCATGACGTTCATAACAAAGAGGAAACATGAAAAAAATAAACTATGATAGTGGTACCCTTTAATTTTGTCTATTTGTGGCAAAGGACAACTCAAAAAAAAATCTATGAATTATTTACATTGCCCAGAATTCGAGAACTAGCCCTGTACTATCCTCGCTAATCATTTACTCCACGTTCAAGCTACCTCACCTTCTAGTTTTGAGTCTTCTAGTCCTCAATTTGAGCCAGTTTGAATCCTCAATCTAGTTTTTTCAATGGAAAAAAAATCTTACACACAATACCCATCGTCCCACTATGTG